CAGACCACCATACCTAGTAGCCATTTTCGTCACTGAAATGCTATCGCCTGACCATAGTTGTATCATTCTCAGACCAGTGTCACTCAACTGCCACCATCACCATCGCCCAACCACTACTGTCACCAAAACACCATTAACTAGCCATTTTCATTGTCATTGAAATATTGTATCCTGGAAGCTGTCATCACCATTGTTTTTATCCTAGCGTCGTGGTTGCAGTACACCAACATTGTTTAACTAACATCACCATTTTACTAATCACTTCCATACCACCATTATCTAGCTTACACCATCACCATCATCACTCTTGCTTGATCACTATGGTCTGACCACTATCGTGACTAAACCACTATCGCCCAATCAAAATTATCGTCATTGTCGTCAGACCGCCACCGTTTTCATTAAACCACCTTCATCATCATCAAACCACTGCCGCTGTGATGCCTCTATCACTGGACCATTATCGTTGGATCACTATCATCTAGCCAAAATGGCCACCTCTATGGTACATCACCGTTTGTGGATCGTTATTGCACAGTTCGTGCCTCCAGATTCCATCCAAAGTCACTTGGAAAATAACGCTACCACTATTGCCACATCACCATTTCTAGGTTTTTTTTGCCTCCAAACTTGCTTCATATGACTGTTATGCCTCTATACCATTGTCACCCAATCGATGCCACTAGTCCACACTCTTTTGTCACCGGACCACTGTTTCCCCACCGACAAAGCAGTGAATGGTGTTGACGCTGTATTACATTTGTTGTTGTCAGATCACAGTCTTGTGACCCCAATTATTGTCCAACCAACATCGTCAATTCACCATCGAATCACAACCACATGGTTGACATCACTACCACAGGTATCGCAGTTATTATTAGATCGATGTCGCTTGGCTAACGTCATTGGCACCATTAAACCTTCGTTGTTCAATTGCCATCGTTGAAACATCGTCACCTGGTTATTGCTACAAGTCTCGTCAGACCACTATTTCTAGTCGCTACATCCATCGCTGATATTAAAGTCATATCTCCATCAAACAACCTTTGTTGTCGATCTTTCATTGCCATGTTTGGGTCGATCTCACCTCCCTTCTATATATACATATATATA